AATATTTCACGTGTTTGTTAATGATAAGTGAACAATAATTTCTGATTACTGGCCATTTCACTCACTATAAGTGACAATGCAGCTCATTTACTTAAAAATCAAACTGGTATGTTTCTGCATTTATTTATTACCTTGGGTATGCTCCGAGTTGGTATTACGCGACACGTGTCATTGGCACGGGTATGGAATACATGTTTGTAGGTTTGTCGGCAATGAATAATTTGTATCCTTTTCTATTTAACAGGTTCTTCAAAATTGGTCAAACGACCCTGGTCGAAATCGAGAAAGCTGCCGTTATCAAACATTTCGAGGAGAAATATTATGTTAAAGAAACTTCCGGAAAACGGGAGATTGATAGGTGCCTATCACAGGAACCGTGTCTGAGAGAACGTTCGTGGCGAAACGTCAAGGACTTTGTTAGGAACCGTACTTTGGCAAAGAAAGTTCCTTAACAAACAAATATACACTTGACAGTGTATATGTTTGCGTTAATATTGATCAAATACAAACAATGTATATTGAACATGTGTTCTATAGCTTGTCATATCAGGTGATGTTTGTAATATAAGCTATAAAAACAGCTCCCGAATGCAGATATATACCAATAGACATTTAGATAGATAATGATGTGTCACCATGTTATAAGTTTTTTGGATACAGTTGTCTGTGTCTTCTTGTCATGAAATCGAATGTTTTAATATGTTGGTTTGGTGGCATTTGTCCAAGATGACAATTGTCCAGTTAGCACTTGACTGGGTGGGAAATGTCACGGTTACAATTGTCCTGCTACCTTTGTATGCACACCTCTTTGGCCGTAAGTTGTTGAAATGGCATTGTGAAATTGATAAATAAGTTATCTAAAATATTACAGTGATGCACGACTTTAATTGACGCATGCACACCGACGGTCTGCTTTCGCCACACGAACAGCTGAGACTTTTTGATAGTTAGATTGAACTTAGACATAGGACCTTAGAACTATAACTTCGTCTTGGAGTTTCTGAATTTGGAAGCCTGAAGTCTACAATACATTGTTCAACTTGACTCTGCCTTTGATTTGTCATTTTATACTGTCTGGTGATCGGAATTATCATCACCTATGAGATGCAATGTGAGCAAAGATCCTTGGCGAGATTATTAGAAAAATTATAAGAAAGTCCTCGGTAATAAAAAGCACCAGTTAAAAAAGTCTAATGCAGAAAAAACTTATGTATTTTGATAAGAGTGACATCAAAGATTTTGATAAAAACATGAAGAACTCTCAAATAGAACTGTCTTGATCAAGATGCAGACTTTAAGTCATATCAACAAGCTGTCGTCATGACACGACATATCATATATCTTTTGTATGTATGTCAATAGAAAAATAATAACTGAAAAGAGGACTTATTACCGGAAGTTTTTTAACAAGGCACATTTAGGACTTTTTACCGATACTTTTTTTGACCGAGGACAGTTCTTTTACTGAACACTCTTTGGCGACAACAATAACATCAAACAGCAACATATATTCCCGTCAACAAGGTCACCTTGGACACTCATGCCTAATAGCCGTTAATTAATATAATTGTCATTAATCATTTTAAGCCATTAGGACTTTTCTAGTCTTGCCATCCATTTATCTGTTTATGATAAATGAGAGAAAATTTCAAGTCCAGATTAGTTTCAAGAAAGTCTGTATAAGCTAAGCTGCCTCCAGTTGAGGCGCCTAAGAATTAAAATGTAAATGTCTTAACTTAAACTTTATTATATAACATCAAAATATAATTATAATATCAAAATATTTCGGGGACTAGATGACTGCCTGCAATGGTCCGTATTGTTTCAGTTATATATTCTGTGTGCTGCATTAGGCCGCTCTTCATTTTTCTCATACAACATACCTTAAAATACAGTAGATTTGACAATTTTTGTCTCGAAAATAGTCCCCACACACGATCTCCCTTCCAAAGTAGCTTTCCGATGCTTTCTTCCCGAGGGTGTACTCTCCCCAAGCATAAACGAGGAGGGATCTTAAATCAGATATTGACATTGGTTCACAAATCAACTCTATTTTTACGAACTCCGGCTGCTCAGAACAAATTCCTATACACACTCCCTAGTTGTATTGAGTAAATCAAATAAGCACTGTTCAGGTTTGGTTGTTAAACATTATAAAGTGTCCCCGATTGCCAGAACAATTTTTATACACACGTCCCCGTTTGCTTAGCAAATTCCTCTAAACTCTGTCCCCGTTTCTTATACACACTGTCCCCATTTGCTTAGTGAAGACATATACACTGTCCCCGGTTACATGGTGAAAATTACACACACTGTCCCCGGTTACACGGTGAAAATTACACACATTGTCCCCGGTTGCATGGTGAAAATTACACACACTGTCCCCGGTTACACAGTGAAAATTACACACACTGTCCCCGGTTGCATGGTGAAATTACACACACTGTCCCCGGTTGCATGGTGAAAATTATACACACTGTCCCCGGTTGCACGGTGAAAATTATACACACTGTCCCCGGTTGCACGGTGAAAATTACACACACACTCTTCGTGTGTGACCCCGGTTCCAATGTAAAAAATCATTCTTGCTTTAAAATTTCCTAGAGTTTCTGTCAACATCCCGAAGTACGTTACATAGCCGGGTAGGCAACTCTTGTAAATCTTATAGCTCTAGACCAACAAGGGAAAAAGTCCCCAGTTGCATGTGTTTTTAGTGTCCCCGGTTACTACCTTTAACATGCGTGTGTGTGTGTGTTGTGTGTGTGTGTGTGTGTGTGTGTGTGTGTGTGTGTGTGTGGAAATATGTGTGCAAAGTATGTACTTTATGGGTCGCTACCTAAGCGTTTACAAGTACTGGTCTCCATGGTACATATAACAAAATACTAAAGCAACAGGACATCAATAAGGTAAGCAACGCATTCTTTATTATCCATAACCAGACGCGACCGAAATGTCTGCAATCATGAAAATTGAGACAATTTGGGCACATAATGTGTACATATATTCATCGCAGCATATTCCGATACACTATTCATGTTTAATGTGTATAAGTGACGAATCGGATGAACGTGCCCACCACTGCAGGTGTGACACGTGGTCGACCGGATCTAGGGACTGCACGTGTTGTACCCTCCTGCGTTCCATAAGTCCCGTAGTATTGTAATGGTGCTTGGTGATACATGGAGAAACTAGCTATGACAGGAGACGAGTCCCATGTCTGCAGTCGCCCGATGGTGTGTTTGGCTCTAACTGTAGGACTATAGGGGTAATTGTGGCCGTCACTGTTTTGTTGACTTTTCTATATATTTAAACGTCTTAAGGACTACACTGGATGTCAGTTTGATTCGCAGGGCATCATCAAACAATGTTTTCAGGGTTCGTTGTTTGGAAAACGTACAAGATAATCAACACCATACGTAGATTCATTTGACTATTTTATTTCTACTGATTTTGATCATTTAGTGATTGATACATCTGATTGTATATATCTGAAACATGAAACATCCGGGAAAATACAGCAAATGTTAAAACATTTAAATCTAAACAGTAAAAACGTGTCGAGTTGTATTGCTTCGCTTGGTATAAGAAAATTACCTAGATGTCCGGTTCGTAAGGAAAGGTTAAATATGTTCGGATAAAGTTAATGCCAAGCACACATTTTTTACGGTACTAATGTGTAGTAGTGTCAGTTTTTACATGACCAGGTGTATTTCTTTTATATACGTTCCAATAAGTGAATTCAGAGTGCATATTGATATGTGGTTGTAGAGGCTGTTTGTGATGATTGTAAACTACCGAGTGCATCTACAGAGTGTAAAGTAGAGTTTCCGCTCCTTTTCATTGTTGACAAAAATGGAGGAATTTCGGGATGGAATTGTGTGTTGCGTTGTGAAAAACTTTCAAACAGAAGCAACAAGTTAACCTAAAGCACTAAGATGATAATAAGTCACTAAGGTAGCCTTAGTGTAATGTTAAAGAATGGGAGTTAAGGTTAACCTTAGTAAAGGTTGCTTCATTGAAAGGAGCCCCTGGTCTTAGCGTGGTCCCGTCACATCAGCTTCACTTGGGCGTACCAGCAGTATGCCATCTCGCACTGGTAACAGTACCTAGTAAAGAACATTGGTATTGTTTGCGCATAGTTATATACCAGTTATATATGTCATGCCTCCGAACAGGCATTGCTTTCACCTTTTACGTACGCTTCTTCAACGCAATGGATTTAAGCGGCTGTTCTTCTTGCGTGAATTACCCCTTAGCTTGTTCAATTTCCGTTTCCTATATGTCGGGCATTAGTACCATCTTCACAAATCTCCCCCGGCTCAAACTAATACTTGAAAGGAGTTTTACCGTTTTTGTAACACTACATGAAGACGGAAAGCTGAGAAATGAAATCACTAAACTGAGAAACGTCGTTAATATTGAGTCAGGATATTCTACATTTCGTGGACAGGGTTAATTCAGTTCATATTAAACACATTTTATAACAGCTTCTTTCCAATCATTAAGCTAACTTCATACACCCGAATAAAATTAAGCAAGCTTCGAAATCAAAATCCTTCTCTTATTCTGTCAGTTATCCGTTTCGCGCATATATCCCTATTAATAAACACAAAAGACATTAGTCCATAGTTCTGATTGGAATGTTAGGAATTGAAGCCCCCAATATATACCCCAGCATTTCACCCATAAAGTAAATATAACGTCATTTGCCAAAGTACCCCAGCATTGCAATTAATGTCAGATTTATAATAATGTATACAAACGAAATTTGACTTAACATTCGAAACATGTACATACTTACTGGAAACAGAATCATATGATTATACAGAAACAGAAAGCATAAGATCCAAACAGAACGTTTACTGCCTTGAAATTAACATCCCATAGCATATTAAACATATGAGTTTATGAGTTTAAATAAATAAAACGTCCTTTGCTTTAAGTCATTCTTACCCTTCTGACCCTCGAGTCATTCCCCACGAGCCCTGTTCGAGGCCATCAACAGGGACGTCAGTATTAAGATATGCAAGGCCACTAAGAAGAGCGTTGTCGAAGGCGATCGTCCCGTTAGCCGCCAGAAGGCCGTGATCCATGATGGTCTGACAAAAACAGCACATACATGTCAACGGTTTGTCAAGGGGATATATCTTGGTATTACATTCATACTGACTCCTTGTTCTTATTTACAGACACCTAACAATCGTATTAACCTAATAACGCGAAACAAATCGGGGATGTGCAGAGATGGTGTTCTCGCAGTATTCCGGAAAGTTCCAGACCTTTGGCATTCGTAAAATCGGCGTTAGGCCCATTGGCTACAGACGATTACCTGCTTGAACTAACAGCAAGATTGAAAGATCTATCATCACAGATGGCTTGGAGATTTCATTGTGGGCAGTAGCAGCAACTCCTGAAAGCGCAACTGATATGCCATCCGGTAGAATGGTGGTACGTGAGCTGGCCCGCCAGCGAGCTATGGGACAGACCCCATCCATTTTGATGATAACTAATGGTTGGTTAACGTGATGGGTTTGAATCCTGTCGTGTGGTCTCCGCGTAGGTTTTGTCGTTAGTTCGCCAGCTCAGATAAACTCGCCAGTCAGGTTAATATTTGGGAAGCACATCTGGGTATTCCCTGGGCCAACTAAATGTAGTTACCTCAGTGTAGATTGAACATACAAGGTGAACATGGACCAAAGTCCAAATGTCCTATAACGCCTAATGAACGGTGGGGTAGCCTCGTGGTTCGCTCTCACGTCGCACGCTCTCCCCACGGGATAGAATTGTGAAGCTCAATTTCTGCAGTCCCCGTCGATGATATTTGCTGGAATATTGCTAAAAGCTGCATTAAACCATACTCACTCACTCACTCACTAATGACGCTGCAAAACAATATTTGAGAGCTCTACAAGAGGAGTGGCCACCGTCAAAGCCGAGTTTTGTGCCCAGACGATGTCAAGAAGTTGTCTCGTTCTACGAAGGTTAAAGGCGATAGCATTCATTTATTCACGTTACGGGTCAAACTTGAACCTCTTGCCACGTTACTGTCCACCTGTTCATACTATAGGTACAGTAGTTATGTACAGTAAATAAACCAGGTAGATATTCTGGGTTAGAGGTACCCATCAACTATGCTTGGTGCCAGAGGCGACCAGATGTATCGAAGTGGTCAGCTGATTGCCTTTCTTGGTTCCTGAGCGTGGATTCTTGGCAGGGTCCCGCCAATCAAACACCAATGGATAAAAGTATCAAACACCATGACAAAACAACACAAGTGTCATCGTTACTCACATTGTAATACGTTACGTAGTTGTCTTTATCTGCGTCCACGAAGATGAAGTCAAATGTTTGTCCTTCCTTCGCCATATTCAGCATCGTATCGTTGGCGTTACCTGGAACATTTGACCCGTGAAGATCCGGGTTAGAAGTGATCCTCAGTAACCGATGCTTTCCGTAAGAGAGGACAAACGGGATCAGTGGTCAGGCTCGCTGACTTGGTTAACACATGTCATCGTATCCCAGTGACGTAGGTCGATGCTGATGCTGTTGATCTCTGGATTGTCTGGTCCAGACTCGATTATTTACAGACCGCCACCATAAAGCTGACATATTGCTGAGTGCGGCGTAAAACTAAATGCAATCACTTACCTGGAACATTATTCACAATATTGATGAAATACTTTCAAAGTGTCGTTATATTTTGTGTGTCACAACCCCATGATATTTACAGTTTTGTGCCCTAAACCAATCAACTACCACGGTCAAAAGTGAGACACCATGCGAGTTTAAAATTCAGTACTTCATCTTTCGTTTCACACATGTAAAATATGTCACATGTTTAGATGAACAACATCAGTTCTCTGACATTTATTGACATGTATCTATCTTACAGACTGAACCAATGAATAACACTTACTTACACGGCGATGAAGCTGAATCTTTGCTTGTTCTAAACAAGCTCGTCATAAAATGTCGTATAGCAGTATGTTGCTTAGAATTAACACGTGCACGAAACTATATTTCTTGTCTCTTTATTTCCTTTATTAAGACCGTTTGCCTTTGAGTATAAGTTATACTGCTTTAGATACATAAAAGACATCCAATTAGGAAGTTGCATCAGATGCCCCAATAGGCATGCAATTAGAAACCGCGTTATGAAGTTGATTTCAATATGATGTTAACTCCTCCTGTTAAAAGTGCCTCGTTTGCTGAATCACTGTACCTGTGTATGCTGAGAGCCGTTATGATAAAGATCCCCGTTATACACGGTTTATAGTCGGCCCTATTATGCATATGAACCGTTAACTGACCGAACGGAATAATGGTAAGAGAATTAATAATTGTTCATGGGTACAGTAAACGTTTGATGTTTTAACTAATGTGTGTTTCAATGCAGGTTCTGGAGCGTCTTGTCAATGACTTCATCCACTATGTATTAGACAAATAAAAGAAGTTTCGCGCATATACGTATTCCATCCTGAACTGAGAATGTGTGTATATTGCTGAATACTCAGACATCGGTTTACCTGTAATTAGCCCCCACTGATTATATAAAGAGATTACTCATTACACATTGATTAATGTAAAGGAAAGTATCTTTACATACAAGAAAAACAACAACATTATCTATATATAGATTATGAATTAATATCAAATAGTGTTGACACCGGGTGTTCACTTAACGGAAAGCGTATGCTGCGCCACATTTGCAAATTTGTTGCAAATACACTCAGTCAGGCGAAACGATGCCCTGTGACATAAACATATTTGATGAGCAGCCAGCCTCGTTGGACCCTTAAAATGTTGATGTGAATATAGACACCGAAGAAATCCTACTCGTCCTGACATAATGAATTATATTCCGAAACAAACTCACCTATTCTAATGTCAATCTTATTTCCGTGAGGAGATTTGTCGAACTCCTTCCGACTGATTACTCTCAAGGTAGTGTGCTCAACGTCGCAGGTGACCACCACCCCGTCTGGGGGCAACGCTTCCGCCATTGCCAGGGCGCTGTATCCGGTAAACATACCAATGTCAAGGACACGCTTCGCCTGTTGCATGTTCACAAGAAACTTGAGGAATTCACCTTAAACAGAGCAGTTATTCGTCAGTCAAGTCCTCACATAATACTATGCCTGACTATTAAGTTCAGAAGAAGAAGGGCACCCACGACAACACAACAGTCCACAACATGATCAAAGCCTAAAGAGTAAAGTATTAACATATTCTATTTATTCCGAGGATGAATAAAGTGCTTGATCCATCTGCTGTAGCTGTCACAAAATTTTCTTACGAAAGAATAAGGATATCTACATATCCGAATATAATAATGCCATCCATAAAAATATTATTAGTTACATGATGACCAATGTGAAAAGGCCATAGAAGTTTCCGTCAGATTATACCAAGGAATGAATAGAGGCAAACTAAAAATCAAGCCGACTAATAGATGGGAAGTCAACTGTAAAATCAGAAATTCCCATCACAGGAATCTAGGCTAGTCGTACCTCGTCACCATACACGAGCTGCATATCAGAGCTGTGTCTTCCATAAGGTAATGGCACATTTAGTACATATCTGATGGACGGTTTCTGTAACCAGCAGACGAACATAACACTGTCATGACAAGGAGTGGGTGATTACACAATGCCATTTAAAACGTGGTCAAATGTTACATATTTGGGTGAGTGAGTGAGTGAGTGATTTAACGTCACCTCGGCAATATTTCAGCCATATAGTGACGAGACAGGTTTTCCATACACAATGAATATATGTTGTTAAATAAACAGTCATCGAAGGACTGTAAAATAACTAGAGTATCACAGATGGTGTTTAAATGTTATATTTGGGATTAAATTTTATTAGTAAAGTACAGATTCTAGTACTTTTGTGTAGTGTAATCCCAAATATAACATATGTTACATTTAACCACTTTCTAAATGGCATTGTGTAATCATAGCCTTCGGTCGTTGAAGCCGTGCCAATTTACACTTATCGGAGGGGTACATAAAGTCCGCAGTCTAGCCTACCAGTTGTCCGACTTTTATTTTGTGAAAGGGGCGGTGGCTGAATGGGTTAGGCGCTGACTTTGTGTGCTGACGATATGGTGCCTGACTCTGAGGGTGCGGGCTCGAATCCCGGTTTGGACTCAACCCAACAAAAGTACTAGAATCTGTACTTTACTAAGAAAGTGTAATCCCAAATATAACATATGTTATATAGGAGGAGTGAGTTTTGTTTTCCAGCCATACAGCGACAGTCTGTAACTAATCGAGTCTGGGCCAGACAATCTAGTGATAAACTAATTAAACGTTTTGAACTATTTAAAGACTACCAGTGTCATCTTAATCGTCGCAATGCACTCTGTAAAATTTTATATCTAATGCGAGCTACTATTGATTTTAATAAGAGATTTGTCGGGTTATTCTATACTTCTCTTCAAAAGTTTAGACTCACTTAAAACACTCACTATATGTTATGTAATACTATATGGTTACATCGAAGATTGACCATATAGTATTACATGGGGGAACCAACTGCACACATTATGCAGATGAATTGCACGAGGATCATGCATCAAATTGCTGAAAAGCATGTGCAAATATCGAGCATGTGAACAGCTGCGTTGTGTTTTGTTAAGAATTCGCCAAGTTTCACTGATTTTCATCATTTACTGAACTGATGACAATAATCTTTTCAACGTTACGAATTTGTTTTACAATACATCAGTTCGTGTGTAAACAGTACTCTTAAACGGTATGGAATATTTTGCAAAATTTAGTTTAGAACAGTTGCCTGAAGTAAGTGGCTATATTTACACTGGTGAGTGTAAACTTTTGATGAAAAGTATATGTTTATCTGAGTGGAATGTCGTTACATATTACACACCATGACATAACCTAAACACTGTTTCATATAACGTTGAACCAACTCGCTCAGTCAGCCACACACTTACCTTCAGATTTGCCTGTGAGCATGCCATTCCCCTTTGGCTTCTCCAGGTCATGTCTCAGTTTGGCTGTGGTCCAGTCAGATGCCTCTGTATACAAACGGATCTCCTCAAGGGTAGCACTCTCAGGAGAACAATGGGTGTCCAGATATTCCTCTCGAGCTTTCATGATGGCTACTATCGTATTGATTCGTTCTATGATGGCTTCACGCGAGTTTTCATCTTCCGGTAGGTCCAGGATATCACGCAACTTCCGGTAAACAGGGTCTCGGAACATAGGACCATATTTGTCAGAGAGATCGGCACAACCACAGAAATAAGGACACATTATATACTGAAATACAAATCTGGAAAAACAAAGAATTTTCATTATGTTCATACATTGATGGAAAATAGTTCATACTGTTTCAACATTTACTGGTTGCTGGTCATATTTAGGACATTATTTGAAAACGGGGCCAATCATAATCATCTCTACAGTATATGTTCACCATTCTCACATGTGTTACTGAATATCAAGGGGTGATGGGGTAGCCTAGTGGTTAAAGCGTTTGCTCGTCACGCTGAAGACTCTGGTTCGATTCCCCACATGGGTACAATGATGAAACCCATTTCTGGTGTCCCCCGCCGTGATATTGTTGGAATATTGCTAAAAGCGGCGTTAAACCATGCTCACTCAGTCACTCACTCACTCACTCACATGTAATACAAACCAAATAAGCGAGTGATCAATGAACCGGAGAAAAGTCCAGTCAGAGAATTGGGAAATACGTGTGTTGTGTGGAAGTATAGAGAATCCTGTGCTTATAAGTGAAAAACGTCTGGGAAATAGGTTTGTTTCACAACAAGGTCTTTTCAGATAATGAGTATCAAATGACTATATCTATTATCCCAAGTGAAACGAGAGTCGACGCAAAACTGATAGATTATTCTTTTCTGCCGGAGTGAGCACAACTAAACAAGTTTCATTTCATTAAATCAGTTCTTTTATTTGTTAATCTATTCCTGGAATCTGCTCGTCTTTGTTCACGGTCGTGATGCAGTTAGGGGGGTTCAGGTCATCTGTTCATTCTCTCATTCATATGTTTAGTGATAAACGTCATCTGGAATTGGCTCTCATATATACATTGTCATTGTACGAACATTGTTCATGGTGTAAATCTACAGAATGTGTGGATGCTATTTGCAGCTTAATGCCGAAAGTATAGATGGATATAGCCATTTAATAGGGTCTTAACCACGGCTGCCGATGCCGCTGTAAACACGTTGGTAGAGTGAGTGAGTATGGTGTTACACCACTTTTAGGCATATTCCAGGAATATCATACCCCTGAAATTGGTTTCACACATTGTCCCCATGTGTGGAATCAAACACGGGTCTTCGCCGTGACGAGCAAACGCTTTAACTACTGAGTTACCAGGCCGCCCCACAAATAGGAAAACATGGCTGAAGAAATAGCATTAACGTTTGTGTTTATAGAACTGTCAAACAATAACCAAATACACTACACATATTGTACATGTACATATTGTACCCTGGTCTTCGGCGTGACTACTAGGCTACCGGGTTACCCGGTTACCCGGCCGCCCCACAAACAGAGAAATAACAGAAGAAATAAATGCGTATAAAAGTCAGTCAAACATTGACCAAATGTACTTTGATGAATGAATGTGAGGAATTGTAAATATGAAGAAACTAAAATAAGTATTCGTATTTTGTTTATGTGTTAAGGGTAACTTACCAACGCCGAGGCACCAAACAAATCCTACACAAAGACTGTGTCACTAGGAGCATCAAGTCAAATGCAAGGACCATAGTCCATACCTCCCTTTAATACTTACAATTGTATATGACGTGATATTGATTATGAATGCTTCTCACACGGTCCGCCATACGCTATTTACAACAATGGAATTCATTATGTCCCGAGGGCTCATCCATATTCATGTAATTATATATATCTATCAGTTTCCATGGATATTTTCAGGTTTTAATGACACGTATTTTCATTGTGTTGCTATTTCAACTGAGACTGATATATGTGAATACAAACTACCATAGAACCAGCTTGTCCCTTTGTGACAGCGACAGTGAATAGAATTATTTTTGTCTGCCATACGCAAACATAAGCTCTTCCTTGTGTGGATCCAGGCTAGCATTATGATTCTACATTTTGCAAAATGTTACTAACGCCCAATACGTAAGAGGCGACCTACGGAATCGGGTGGTCAGGCTCGCTGACTTGGTTGACACATTTCATCGGTTCCCAATTGTGTAGATCGATGCTCATAGTGTTGATCACTGGAGTGTCTGGTCCAGACTCGATTATTTACAGACCGCCGCCATATAGCTGGAATATTGCTGAATGTGACGTAAAACTAACTTCATTCACTCACTCATTGGATCACCCCACCGGACCTGGCAAGCCATGATGCTTCCATGTGAAGTTCTGCACATATCGTCGTCTTAAGGCTGTAATATTTTTTTCAACCGTTTCATGATTTGTGAATTGTGTCACTAGTGTTGACCACCTCGCCCTTCTGCAAACACCTGGTGTCACTACAAGTATTTCATAGTGAGTCTTGAACACATATACTGGACAAAAATAGTGAGGGAAACATGTAAATTTTGAAATTATGAATAATGATCTATTTATTCATTGACACACTGATAAAATATCAATGATAAAAATACCAATATCCCTAACTTATTTTGTCCAGTATATATACTCTTAATGAAGTCAGTATCTCAGAATCGACTCAACTTTTAGCATAGATTTCGTGGGCTATGGAAACGGTTTTGTCGCTTTTATTTCAGAAACAAGATAGGATATGTATTTTCTATTTTGCAGATCATGTCGGCCGGTATCACATAGTCGAGTTGGTTCGCCTTGGCTTGTACGCTGTTAATCCTGTTAAATCAACTACATCTCCAACTACTTGATGTTTCGGAATGGGATTCTCATGAGAAAACTTTATGCAGAAATGTTTTGACTGTTTTTCTGGTATAAATATGTGAACAAAATTGTTTTGAGAAGACGTCCATTTAATATCACGATTGCATACTTTTCATTTGGGTTCAGGAATAGTACCTCAACGAACATAGTTATATGAAGCAACCTTCTGACAGAGAGTATATATGTTGACACGGAGCCTGAAACGTATATTATTCCAAAATGAATTTAACATAATTGAAGCAGCACCTATTTATATTTCAAAAAACGAATGTGACGTGAATAAGTTTATTAACCTGTCATTTCCATGCGCCATATTGATATACGACAGTAACATGAGTGTACACGCGAACTCAGTAACGACGGTCACAGCTGCAACGGCGACTGCGATGGCGACTGCACCTGGAGAACTCTGTCTGTTCCACCCTGTTCAGTTTACATCCTTAGCCGGAGCTCAGCCTCTATTGGCTTTTGTCCTTAATACCCACTTTACTTTTATCGCAGATCACACCTCTCCTCTACTAGCCCATGGCTAACAATATAACCCCGTCCATATGACTTTTCTCATGCTGGTATAAGTACAGACATCACTAAAATGTCTAACCACAACCAAACTCTCGTATGTCCAACATAACATGTACGTGCAAAGCTACTCTTTCAAGAATATGTGTGCACACACTATAAGTCATAACATGCAATATATATCGTGCAATGTGGACGCTACAACTGGTTTGCTTGCGAGTGTAAACTGGTGCAACTAATATTACCCAGTGCTAGAAGATGAATGGTTGTCATTTATAAAAGGTAATTACAACATGATCAGCATAGAGTACCGCGGCACGATCAGTTTCCAGTGAGTGAGTGAGTTTAGTTTTACGCGGCACTCAGCAATATTCAAGCTATATCACGGGGGGGGGGGGTCACCAGAAATTGTCTTCACATATTGTACCCATGTGGGGAATTGAACCCGGGTAAATACTACTTTGCCTGTTGTCGCTACTGTTTAAGCTTTGGAAAGGCCATCGTTGCATTACAGGGAAATTTTAACCAATAATTATCCACCTATTCTGGTTAAATGTCTTGAAAATAAAGGAGACTCAGTTTTATGAATATTGGCCCTCAAACCAACAGAGTCCAGTGTATGTAAGTGAGGACTGTTTGCACATGTAAATGTTGTTACACCCCTTTCTGCAGCCACAAGAGACCGCCTCCTGACAAGACGTCGATGCGTCATGGAGTGTCGTCCTTTTGGGAACATATTTACCACTTTCGTATTGTATCCAGAGTTAAGTCTGTGGAAGAAATGACTTGATCCATATACCATTGCATGTCCTGTCTGGTAACAGTTGGCTCTTCTGAAATTGGTGCAACACACGCTTCTATATGTGCCATCAGGTCATGGTTTGTACCGGTCCCAAAGCATCCATTTTCTGATAGGGACGGGTCTACTTTTCATGCTGGTCAGAATCATCTAAGTTTCCCCACGCCTAATGTACACTCTGCAAAGAGTTCTGCGTCACTCTTCATTGTATCTAGCTGTTCCTTGTCCCTTTTCACGGCTTTTTTAATCAATTAAAGTTAAACAAAAATACGTAAAAATACTGTTACTCGGCTTTGTTTTTTCCTGTGGGTCCCATTTTCACATGATGCGACGGCCCCGAACAAAGTGGAGTATAAATTTCAAAAATTGCTTATGTGCGCTATCATTTCATGAATTGATTTAGAAATCGGCAGTACGAAAAGTAACTTTTTTGACGTTCAGAAAATACATGATGGCAAACTCCTGACTTACATGAAGCAGGGCTATCCAGTTCTATTGGTGCTAACATGTACATTAACCACCTGGTCATCAGTTCACTTAGAGGAATGTTGTGGCCAACGGGGAAGTAAAGTGTTGTCAAAGTCCTGGCAGACTGATGAACACCAATGACCATGATGATCCTGTGCAAATCCGTATGGTAAGACCTCAGTATGATAAACCTTGCCAAAGTAATGGGGAGTGTGAGTCTCAGAAGGAGGCTGCGATTAGTAAATTGGCGTGGGGTTCATTGGTCTCATGAAAGTCGCTTTCTTCTACACGTTGTCACGCATAGAGACGTCGTATCACCAGGAAATGATCTATACAGGTGAACCCATCAGTGAAGAATTGAGGTATACACTGTATCGGGAATGGCAGAGGAATCAAATGATAATAATAGTGAGAGAGTTTAGATTGACGTCGCTTTTAGCAATATCACGGCAGGGGACACAGAAATGGGTAAATCGAACCAAGGTCTTTGGCGTGAATAGCGCACGCTTTAACCACTTTGCTACCCCACCGCCCCTGCTAATGTGATGCTTGATTGACAGTATGAGGAGGAGACTTGCAGATGTTAAAAGTTCAACGGATGCTACACCTGATACTGTCATGGTTCATACAATCAAAACAAACAGTGTTTAAAAACTATGCGACAATCAGAGCAATATGTGTTGCAGTTACCATTGTATTCCGTGTAATTCTGGTTTTCAAGACATATGCACAAACATGTGTTTTCGTACTCATCTTAAAAGAGTGGGTAATTGCATAATAAATGCTCATGGATAATTTCATTATGGCCTTGAGCATATGAAGTTCAAATTCAATAGCGTAACTTATCATTTGTAGTATAACTGCCACGGGGATTGTAACATAGAAGATGATTGTGTCACCATGAGTTTTCAATTTCTTATAAAATATTTTATGAACATAAACCTATACTAGTATATTATCATCAACTTTCTAGAAACCAAAACCTCACCTTCATTACGTCGAAATGGCATGTAAAGGAAACTATAGAATTATTTTTATCTTACATTTGTGAAATGGAATTAGGCAAAATTGTCACTGAATTGCAATAATTTAATTGGTTTCTAAAAATATTAAACAGTAAAAGTGCGGTTTAGAGATGTTACTGGAATAATATAATAATAAAATAATGACTGCTTCCTTGCGAAAGACAAATCTGGATTATCTGCCACACTTGGCCTTGAGTCGTATGGGGGTGTTTAATCCTAATGTAAATTCACTATTTCTTCTCTTTCCCTGTACATGTAAATCATTAGTTGTGAAATTATAGGTTCGTAATGATTGTCTATGCTGACTATGTAAGAGGAAACACGGACACAGACAAAAACAAAACATCATGTGCCTTCATATCGGAAATTATTTTTAAAAATGTTCGTGAAATTGTGACCAACGTTTGTGCTTTTATCATTATATGCACACTTTTCTTAGCCGCTTCACTATCAGTCGCATCTTACGACAAGCATGTGGCTGCTGAATACGGTTGCTGACCAGGATATTCACGGGTTGGTTCGGACATGTTAAAAGCGACTTTATCGAGACTCCTGTTTCAGCAACATTTCTTTTGCGGCTCGTCTAGCCAACGCATAGCATTAATACATTTACTTACATAGTAAATATACTCCCCATGCAATACTAAGCGTATGTATTTCCTGCCATACTGTGGAGGGGATTAGCATTCACAACATGAATACGGGAATACTGATGAAGCATGTCCACGTCGTAAACCCCACGTGACGTTCCTGAAGGTGCGGATCCCGATGACCCTTCACAGCCGGAACCATGCCTGATAATCAATTATCTCACCGGTATTGATAGACAATGTCATCAGACATGTATATATGTACTAGGTGAGGTGAAACGGGGTTTCAACGTCGTACTTAAGAATAAATCGCTCATATTACGACGTGCATGCGTGTGTATGCGTAGCTGCTTATACTAGCCAAGACTTAAGCAGGTTTTATAGTGCTAGACCACTGAGATACCATGCCGCAATTAAGCATGAATACCCCACTCAGACACATTATACTGACTCCGAGCCGACCAGTCCTTGCTGTACCCATTAATGCCGAGCGCCATGCAAGAACCAACAAGTACCACATTGTAACGTCATTTGGTATGACGCGGCCGGGGATTTATTTATGTGCTAAGGACAACTAATCCCGTTCCTGTTATTTACACGATTTATCGGGACTGGTGTGAAAACGAATACACAATACAGAAACAATTACGATGTTTATTAAGACAACATTTTCAACATACAACAAGGTTAAATCCGTACAAAAGAAATTCTGTATGGAATAAAACTTTCTTCCTTTGATATATACGTAAATTACTAAAGAGCTGACCCTTTTCCCCCAAATGGTACAGACAGCGACGTCCCCTAGAGTAGGGTCTCCTCGGCACGGCGGACCAGCAGCACACCGTCACGGATGGGCACTAGGACCTGCAATTGATGACGTAGCAATTACGTCAAGGGGGAAAGAGTACAACATGACGTCAGTGGGAAAACATTGATAGCAACCTCGTCTACACATTTCAGTTTCAGTTTCACACACCAACTTACATATTCGGGAATCACACACTCAGATTTACACACACTGCCCACCAGATTGACCCTGTATACATTACTCACCAGAAATGGTCATCACACATTATACCCTCAAAAGGAATCATCGAACTTGGATTGTCGGTGTGATGAACGAACACCTTAACCATTCAGCCATCCCTTCATGACCTCCGGTTTACACGACAGTGGGAATAAGGGGCTGTGCTGGACCTCAGCCATGGTAGATTCACGAAAGTACAGTACAGTTTAAAACTCGGGGTGTCAAAATGGGGTGTCCCCCTCTATACTCAAGCGGGATGACAACGCTACCAGCCGCTGGCTATTGTGGTTACGACTTAATACGTTCGTGGCTTAAGTGATAAAAAAGGATGTTATCACGATGTTATTACGTTTACCGCCGTCTTGAGAGTGAATTCACTGGGGTGCCTCTGGATGCAATTATGTTTGTCTATTCTTTTATTCTGTTGCCTACCGCTTCATATTCCGCTTTATGTTCCAGCAACATGACGGCTTTCTATAACTAATCGAGTCTGGACCAGACATTCCAGTGATTGTCACGAGCATCGAGATCCCGTTACATTCGCATCGTATGACAAACATGGGTTGTGAAGTCCATTTCTTATCAGAATCTTTATGGGTGTGTCCACCCTAATCTGGTCAGTTCGGTAAATCTTATTGAAAAGGGTCTTCTCTGAAGAACTGGTGAATGTTGATAGAGATAAAGTTGGGTGAGCTAGCACGTACCCTTCTGACCCGTGGGTCCTTCTCAACTAGTCTGTTCAGGGCGTCAGTTGGGCCACCTTCAGTCATGTAGGATCTCCCTCCACGGAAAGCGTTGTCAAAGGCAACCGTGCCATTCGCAGCCAGCAAACCTTGATCCATGATGACCTAAGCGAAACCCATACCTATGAATACATTGGCGGTTATTACATATGCATGGACTATATGAGTATGTTTAAATAAATATTGCCAGATTACAGTTAAGTCACCAAGGAAATGTTCTCATCGTCGTAAGTCATTTAACGCCTCAGCTTATGACTCACGTTGTAGTAGTCAACGTAGGAATCTTTGTCCGCGTCCACAAATATGAAATCAAACTTTTGTCCCTCATCTGCCAGACTAAGCATCGTGTTCTTGGCATGACCTGCAATTGTAGCAACGTCATCGACGTTGATGACTCGTTCATACAACATCAGACAATATGATCCTGTTAACTACCAATGCTAAGATTGTCGTATTGGTGTTTGATCCTTCAGTGAAACCGCTTTTCATTCAGGGCACATTCCTTAACAGACAACTAAGCTAAAATATACTCCCCTCCGAACAACAGACAACCAGTACAAACCCCGCCTAAACCTGAGACATATCACAGTATACACACATTCTAATGATGATCGTCTTCCTATTTCAGACCTAGGCAACTCCTATCGGCATTTTGATGAATGTACAATACTAGCGAAAATAACGGACAACCACGAACTGACCCCGCAAAGAATTGAAAACCACAGACCTATTCTGATGTCGATCTTTTGCCCATGAGGAGACTCGTCCAACTTTTTTACGGTTGATTTGCTCCAGGTACTGCTCAGTGTCGCACGTGATCACCACGCCCTCTGGTGGAATAGCTTCCGCCATGGCCAGGGCGCTGTACCCGGTAAACATGCCAACATCCAGGATACGCTTAGCCTGTTGCATGCTTACCAGAAATTTGAGGAATTCGCCTAGCAAGAGGAAAAGTAAGAATAAGTGAAACATCTGCGCACGCACGCACACAAGGGGTGTGGGTTGGGGGTATTTGTTACCTCATAATGACTAAAGTTTACGTCTCCCTCTAATGTCGCTAAGTGTAATGTCCTACGCATGATGACGACACAGATACTTATTGCGCGGCGTCGCCTATGACTACGTGAAGAGCCGAAGGACAATTGTTTATGCCATCATACTGGCACAATTGGCTTTGTTTGCTATGTTATATTTAGGAGGTCTTATAACAAAATGATTCTCATTAACCAATTCAGACAATGACCTACTTTTTAGCCGATCCCAATTTTCTCGTGTGAAAGTGAAAAGAGACACTACAAACAACTATGGTTAGACTGAATTCCAATTCCTTGTTACATAAGAAAATGGCATTTACAAATGAAATTTTATTTTAAACTTTAAACAAATTTAGATTTAGATTTTATGGCGAGGTTTAGGCAACTAAGACGCCGCAGACTGCCCCCGTTTAAAGAGGTCGTCCAATGATTCACAATTCATCTGGCTCACTGGTTACACCTGTTATGTGTTTTTTGCGCTTATTCAATGTACTTGTGAAACGTGCACTGTGATTGATATGATAAAGTCCGTACCAGACCGCCAAACTTTTCTAGCGGCCGAGCCTCGTTTTGAGATTTCTAGATTTCCGTTTGTCATAGCATGCTGTAAGATAGAGCACGATGCACGACGTGTTTGCAAGGATTAGGAGAGACAAGGAGCGCAGTGTTGCAATATACAAGTGCTTAGATGTATCAAATAATACACATTAATATTTATATATCCACTCGAATGAATTCTGGACTGTTTATTGTACCAAGTTGCGCAATAGGACGGAGCCCAGTCAGCAGGAAGCGAGACTGTTGTGTAATCAATGTTTTGACTTGTATTAGCCTGACTTGTTGGAATGTGTACAAACATTCACTTGCCCATACCATAGCCTTCTTTGAAACCACTTGGGCCAGTTGGTTGAAACTTTTGAACCACTTCTAAATATTTGTCAAGGCCTATTTACTGGAATAGGAAGAGCGCAAATTAGGCGGGCGATGCATGTATCAAGAGCAGCCACAATGTTTTTGGAAACCGGATGTTGATTTTGTATTGGATTCTCTGATTGAACTCTGATCAATACGCGCGATAGGCTTGAAACTAGACTATGATATAGGCTAGGGTGGAGAGTAGTGTTTGATATTGCTAGAGTCAGTGAGTATAGCTTTACGCTGCTGTCAGCAATGTTCCAGCAATATGACACCATAAATGGGCATTACACATTGTACCCATGTGGGGAACCGAACCCGAGTTTTCGGCGTGGCGAGCGAATGCTTGAACACTAGGCTACCCCACCGGCCCTGAGTGAGTGAGTTTAGCTTTACGTCGCACCCAGCAATATTCCAGCTAGATGGCCGCGGTCTGTAAATAATCGAGTCTGGACAAGACCAACCAGTGATCAACAGCATGAGCATCGTACTGCGCAATTAGGAACCGATGACATGTGTCAACCAAGTCAGCGAGCCTGACCACCCGATCCCGTTAGTCGCCTATTACGACAAGGATAGTAGCCTTTTGTGACAAGCATGGGTTGCTGAAGACCCATTCTACCCCGGATCTTCACGGGTCCCACCGGCCCTGATATTGGCTAGAGGGCAACTTTCCTTTGGAAGGATGCAGATTATATGCAATGTTTCTGCCAATCAGGTTTACCTTCCACCTTCCCCGTCATCATCCCGGGCCCCATCCTCCCACAGAGTCCCTGTTTCTCAGGCTCGGTCCAGTCCTTCTGCTGGGTGAAAATCCTGATCTCCCTCAATGTATCGCTTTCAATGGAACAGTGCTTGTCAATGTACAGCTCACGTCGTTCGGCTATTCCGATTGCCTCCCCCCAGTTCCTTTGTGATAGCTTCGTCGATGTTCTTCTCCTCTGCAAGGTCATGTACTTCACGCAGCTTCCGGTATACAGGGTCTCTCCTACCTAGAGGTGCGTCCTTCCGAGGGGAACCCTTGTCAGACATCATCAGTCTACACAGAAAAAATGAATCAAAACACATTGACGTGGTGTTAATAACAAGTGGTCAATAGAGCAGAATATTCAGCTCTGGAAAGAAATGCTATGTTAAATTTAAAAGGGCTTTAGTCATGTCGATCAACTGCTGGAAACAACCATGAATTTGGTAATGGACAATTACTTGAAGCTGTCCAAGTGCCCCAGTGCATAGATCCCGCCTGTGCGTGCGGAAACAGAACTTCAGTGAGTGAGTTTAGTTATGCTGCAATCATCAGTATTCAAGCCATATGGCTGGGTCTGTAAATAATCGAGGCTGGACCAGACAATCCAGTGATCAGCAACATGAGCATCGATCTACGCAAATGGAATACGATGACATGTGTCAAACAAGTCAGCGAGCCTGACCACTCGATCCCGTTAGTCGCCTCTTATGACAAGCATGGGTTTCTGAAGACCAATTCTAACCTGGATCTTCACGGGTTAACAGAACCTCAGTAAATACACATACCTACGCATACCATGAGCACAGGATATTTTTGGGTTTTAGATTGTTTTTATTTGTTGCTCTCCGAACTCAACAACATTCCTGAGATATGATGTCAGTCTGTATAAGGAAACGAGGCTTGACCAGACAATCTAGTGATTGACATCATGAGCATCGTTCTAAGCATTTGTGATGCGCTACGATACTTCACCCAAGTAACACAGTCGCACGAAATTCATGATCACATCAAAACCTGATATTGATCTGTTGGACAAAATTTAATAGTGGCAGATGCATTTCCAGCGGTACCTAGTACGTGGAATATTCAATGCCAGGCCGACATTAGAGGTGAGGTGAAATTGGGTTTTACGTCGTGCTTGAGAATATTTCGCTCATATGACGACGTGCATGCGTGTGTATGTGTATGTGCGGCTGCTTGTACTAGCCCAGACTTAAGCTGGTTTTATAGTGCTAGCCCACTGAGATACCATGCCGCAGTGAAGCATGAATACCCCACTCAGACACATTATACTGACTCCGAGCCGACCAGTCCTTGTTGTACCCACTAATGCCGAGCGCCAGGCAGGGACCAACATGTACCATATTTTAACGTCTTTTGGTATGACGTGGTCGGGGATCGAACCCGCGACCTTCCGCTCTCCGGGCGGACGCTCTAACCACTACACCACGGAGGCGGTCGGCCGACATTAGATTGAGCACAGACATGGATGAATGTGTTTGTTGTTTAAAGGCACTATTTCATACTACACTAGTCTCAAAAAAAATAATGCATTTCCCTCAATAATACTATCAGTTCTCAGGGAACCTACCATATAACTTATTTTTAAAAAAAACATTATTTCAAGCGAACCCCATAGTTATGTCCCTTGGAACGCTCATACGAATATCCTACGCACAAATTGTGATTGAAACCAGTTTGGATAACACCGACGTGCGCGTGCGAGAGTTTTAATACAAGGAGTGAGTGAGTGAGTTTAGTTTTACGCCGCACTCAGCAATATTCGAGCTATATGGCGGCGGTATAATATAAGGGAAAATAAGTATTTTATTGAATCAATACGAAGCTAAAGTGAGTGCATTTGCCCCAATATATATATATATATATATATATATTATATAGGCTAACATATTGTCGAAAATATGTGACACTGTGCCTTTAATGCCACATTCAGCAATGTTGCAAGTTTATGACGAGAACCAGTACAGATAATTATAAACTATATTAACACCGCATCACTGGGGTGTGTAATGACTCATGAGTATGTAGGGTTTTATGCCGCGTTTAGGTTATTGCAGGGATGCACCAAACATAAACGTCAAACAGTGTACCCTTGTGGGAAATCGAACCAGGCCCTCGGTGTGACGAGCGAACACGTTAACCATTCGGCTACCGTAGTGGGAGGGTCTATTTAGATATCGGTGAATTAAGTTTAACTATTCTTTCAAGATTACAGAACTGTATATCGAAATTCATGTACGCATGCCTGTGCTTGTACACTTCCGGGTTAATTCCTATAATTGCATTTCGCAAGGACGTGGGCAGAACATGTTTTAACAAGGAAGCCCCACTATGAAGCACAAAACCGAATCCAATCGAACAGACCACTCTTCATCCCTATATTGACGTGCCGGTGTCATCTCATGTCCCTTGATAAACCCGGACGGAGATCGAACCTGTGACCACTGCATTCTGACAAGATGCTTTATCCACACAACCAAGGAGGCGGTCGCGTATATGTTTGTGTAGCGGATGCATGGATAGCGAAAAAGGGGCGTTAGATAGTGCGGCAGCCATTGTGTACAGATACGCTGAGTGTGGACTTCAGTCACGTACACGAGTGCAGAAACAAACAGGTCGCAGTGACATATCACGTGACGATCTAGTGAATACCATGCAAGAGAGACGATATATGTCAGTTTTTTTAAAAGTGAGGCTCGCTATCCATATATACAGTGATACAATCACATGCTATTACAGTGGAAATGATATTTGTTGTATCTCACAATACATATCTAATGCACTGATTTCGCCTTCGGCCTTCTCACTGTCCTACATCACGTAGTCAGCTTGAGCGCATAGAAACGCGACTTCCATCGACAAGCATACATCGTGTCACGCTATTTGCATTTGTGACATAGGTCCACTAGGACCGCCATAATTACAGTAGGTTTAAGCCAGATTAGGACCGACAGATACAGATCATCGGCTAATACAAGGCAGAACATACTCACGGTTTGAAGGCTGTTGCGATATTCCTTGAGAAGATAAAGATGAGGGGTGATACAAGGTCAGCTATCTAGCTTAGGCGAGCAGTTTTGTATCGGCGAGCAAACACCAGTCCCTGCTCTCAACAACCCAATTATGTGATCTTGTTATCCGTTATACATGTCTCGTAAAGTACAGCACTCAAGGTGTGGAAAGATCATACGACTGTCCTTCTAACCAGCTGTCTATCAAGGGCTTCTGGATGAGATTATCAGGGTTTTTTTCACTGAAGCTAAATATACAGTTTACTTTAACACAGACACCACTTGTGTTCAGTGTAAACTCCTGAATGTGGAGAACGAGTTCATTGAGTTGGGTGGAATGAGCAGACGACACCCAACAGACACATACTGATTCATAGTTCATTGTGATTCACACACCTACATACCGTGATCGTTTCGGATGGGTGCCACAAACTCATTTCAGCAGAGATTTCATACCGATGTTCAGTATCCAATCAAATAAATTAAACACTATTTCTTCTTCCTCATCCAAAGGTAACCCGTTAAGGCAGACCGTAGACAACTGCTGGCGTGAACGTTAGATGTGTTTGTGGGAAGATAATGCCGCTTCTATTTATCAACAGCCACAACTACATTATAATTCATACAAATTAAAATTCTAAAATATTCTAAAATATTGAACGACATTTAATATATGGCCTGCTTGGTTGGTTGCTGCGATACTAGACATCGGCAGATGTTACCTGAAGTTAGTTATGTGACACCTATCATACATTCAATGTAGGTTTCTGTCAAGCCGTTAATAATAAAGGCCACTCATGCATGTTTATATCCATTATTTAACATTGTGGGTGCTGATGACAACCTTGGACATGTAAATACTTATATGGGCACAGAAGGGGACGGGGAAGGGTTTGCAGATAAAGTAACTTATATCGTTTTTACAATTCAAAATGGTTCAGATAAAGACAGCTGCTATTAAATATTTCCGTTTGTGGAACAAGTTGAGTTGATAAATAACGTGTTTTAAACGCCTGTGCGTGCTCGTATTAATCGGTACTAACGCCGATTTAATAGTACTAGCCCACTACAATACGAGTTTATCCTCTCACTGTGCAGGCAGCCTGTACAGGATTAGGTTTAGTAATGATGTTATGAGGAAAGGGATCGTCTCATGACTTTGTTGAACTAAACTCAAGAGGGAGAGATTCCAAACTGATAGATCGTCAGACTGATATCAACTCACCAATTATCCATGTTCAGTTAATGTCACTGAATAAACTTCATCTTTTTAACAGCATAATAATACACAGGAAAATGTATAGTCACTATCATTCCTTGCCAATATGAAACACATAGTCAAGTCTGACACCAGGCCCATGCCTGCCCTATATCATGACGATTGAAGAATAAAAGTTAGATTGAACTTTGTGTCACAGGTTTATACTGATACGCCCCCTGGTAATCCCTTTGTTCTGCTATTTGACATGCCTGATTGCTTCAGTAACTATGAATAAAATGTGCCTGCACTATGCGGAGACCCTCCCGGTACGATGCGGCAGTTTAAAATGGTTATATTTAACTCAGACACGGTCTTTACTGATCAGTCATTGTTGCATCCCTTCCAAAGTTCTGGGCAGAGTAACAACAATTATCAGCTTTTAATTTCCTTCTATATGACACGGCAAGGACCCCAACAACCGACCGGGTCGGTCGTTTAACGAACAGAATATAAATCTGCATTGTTAAACTGTTTTGCGACAATATCAATCCGCGTGTAGTGTACACATTTCTATTGAACAGGGCTGCAGGGTCACGTGGAGCAAGTGGAGTTTTACGTATACTGGTCAATGTGGCCTTAATATGCAGCCAAATGGCCCACAGCAAGCCAGAAAGTGCGCGGATTATAAAGATCCGTTTATTTTGCAGCAATGAGTGAGTGAGTATGGTTTTACTCATCATTAGCAATATTCCAGTAATAAAACGGTTGGGGACACTAGAAATTGGATTCACACATTGTGCCCATGTGGGGAATCGACTCCGGGTCGTCGGCGTGAGGAGCGAACGCTTTGTCCTCAAGGCCACCCCACCGCCCCTGGTTTGCAGTAGCTAACTCAGTATTAAAAGGCTGAGTTTAAGGCCTCTTTGAACTGTATCCCAGTTCCATCACGATGTGTCAGGTTAATGTGGGAGACGAACATGTGGTTATACTGTGGTCTAAGACGTTTACCACCCTGCTGAAACAAGCGACCACGTATGTTGCTTACAAACCGAGAAAAATATTCGATCTCGGGTGTCTGGTGAAGCCAAGGGGAATAACTCTGCACATATAACTGCGGCCGTGTTCACGTGTACTTATTAATGACGACACAGTTTCGAACACACCCATTGGAGAGACACGCGACAAACAGTCGCTGTCAACACAGATTCCGGAGATTCAGGTGCTACCAATACAATGGTTCTGTCGTCCATGAAGTGTAAGAATAATCTCAATCTTTTACAAACCAAAACAATTTTGGGAAAATCTTAAATCTAAATGCCTTTATATTGGAATGAGGGAGAATGATTTAACTGTCCCCTATTGCAGTAATCCAGGAATATCACGGGTACACCAGAAACGGGCTTCCCACGTTATACCCATATTGGGAATGGAACAAGGACTTTCAGCGTGACGAACCCTTAGGACATCGCGACGTTCACTGTGACGCAATTGCGGCGATGTAGCAGTTGGACATATGCATTCTCTGTATGATCCCAACAGATTTTACTACATATTCCTTGTCAATTCCAGCTGTTCTTCAGCACATACTTTCAAAACATCAGGATCCTCAGCTCTGCTTACCCGTGAAGATCCGGTTAGAATTGATCTTCAGTAACCCATGCATGTCGTAAGAGACGACCTACGGGATCGGGGGGTCAGGCTCGCTCACTTGGTTGACACATGTCATCGGTTCCCAATTGCGCAGATCGATGCTTATGTTGTTGATCACTGGATTGTGGCCCAGACTCGATTATTTACAGACCGCCACCATATAGTTGGAATATTGCTGTGTGCAGCGTAAAACTAAACTCACTCACTCACTCAGTTCCGCTTATAGTAACCTGATATCATTTTAGTTTCAACCTGCCCTGCCCAACCTGATCAATGCCAGGACTGGGATACCCGTAAAAAGAGAAACAAAATATTATTTAGGCTATCAGTGATCACATTAGATACTATGACACTGTCACAAGCAAGGTGGGGTAGAGGAAGCAAGACAGTGTGCTTTTAATGTGTACTCTGCACAGCTGTTGTCTGGCGTGTGTGGAACAGAAATGCAAATTCATATCTGTGCATTCCATATCGCCAATGCACATACATATTGTCGACAGATAACAAGTAATATACGTCACAATACACCATCAATGCACAAAATGTAAAAACATACTCACGAAACACTGGACATTACGTTCCAAACATAAACGATGCACTCTTGGCTGGCCGACTTCTTCGACGGTAACTGCGCATGACCGGATGTCAGGGTATGTATCACTGTTTAATCACAAATTTTTGGTTTGTAATTATATAATTTCAAAGTGGCTAGAAATAGTTTGTTTTTCCCATGGTAATTCAATTTGTATCCCCATGAATGAAAATCTTATATTTTACTTCACTCAGTTTGGGTTTGAATGCGGGATAGATTCTGCCACAAAAGTGCAAGAATATTTACTTATAAGATATGTTACGTTTGACTACTTTCTGAATTGCATTGCGTATTCATAGCTATCGGCCATGGGAGCCGTGCAAATAAACACAGTAATTAAAAAAACCCTGTTGTTTTTTTCACATTTATATCTACAATTAGTGTGGTTATGTGAAAGTGTGAAATATCTGTTAAACTAAGTTCGGCCTAACTACAGTCTCAGTGGTAAGGAGGACACGTAAGAAATGGACTTTACTGAGGCGAGATTAGTGTAGAAATGAGCAATGCGGTTATTTGGAACAGACGATGGCTTTATGCAAATCAGTGTGAGATGACATTGTATTACAAAAAGAACACTGTAAATGCCCAGTTTGAAATTAGACTTAGCTTCATTATAAACGATAACTGATGTTGTAATGATAACCTTAATAATGAAACTATTAAAGGTCACATGCAACGTAAAACACAACTTTGCAATCCCGGTATGGACTTACCGAAACAAATCGTCAAAAATGCAAATTAAACTTATAAAGTTGAAAAATAACGCGATGAAAAAAACCGCGCGAAATCCGAGTTCAAACGATTCACTAATTTTCCCCGACTTTTCGGGAAAAAACTGGTTTCAACAGCTGGGCTGCGCTCATAGCACTGCGCAGTGAAATAGGTTCGCGCAACTTGGAAGCGGGCTGTCCGGTGAATACTCGGTGAAGGCTTTGGTGTGAGCTATTTTCCTAATGTTTTGTTGATATCTCACAGGCGCGAGCTTTTTATATATTATGACAGTAAATAAACTGTTTATATAATTTCATTTGTCTATTTCACCACACGTTCTTCTTACCGTGTCACTTTCTCAGTTCAATACTTAAAAGCAATGTCATTATTTAGCGTTGACAGAATTTCTAACTGTGATAAAGATATGTCGTTGTCACAGACAAAACTCAATGTCTTGTTTTATTGACACCTGTGTGTCTGCCTGCCTGTCTGACAATATTCAATACACAGCTGCTATCACTGACCACATGCAATTTGAACTTAACACCAATCAGGCTATACACCAGAAACAAAATGCATTGATTTATGGCCCGAGTTCGGTCTCTATCACATTATGTAATTACACAGACAGGCAGGTGTGATACTTGAACACATGACATGTTATGATGTCTGTTGATTGCGAAATGTTATACACAAAAAATGAGCATGTATTTACAAAACCCAACATCTCTATATATACACACACAATGAGCCGTGAAGGCATCTGCAAATGAACCAGCCGTTACACTTGAGTGCACACCCACCCGCTCTGACTGGGTTCGGTATCCCGGCTGCTTCGTTTCTTGGGAAGTAAACCGAAGTACACAATTTTGCACTTTTGATTTGCGATTGTACGCTTATAATTTTGTTTGTGTGTTTTTTCATTACCAGCAATGTATATTATATGTCATGAATAAGTGATAATTCTGTTTTAATTATGATTGATTTTTTGGTTGCATGTGACCTTTAAGGATGTAGCTACCCTGGAGTCTAACTATCACTATAAAAAGAAACTGGTAGGAGGGGTCGTCTCAAAAGCAAAACCAGGACGGGTGTCGCAGACGGTGGTTGGGGTCGGGGCTGGGTAGAAATCTGGATAGAGATACCATCTAAGATAAGATAATCCTTTAGAGGAATTAAACTGGGAAAGTAAACGGCATGTCATAACAAATTACAAATA